AGGGTTGATTAATAGGCTTGAGTCAAAGATCGCTGCCACGCCACCACCTCGGCCTGTGTTTCGAGGGATGTGACAGTTACTGTAACTAGGTGGAGTGGCTTCATTTAGACTGACATATTCTTCCTGCTGTAACCATGTTTCAGTAAGACACAATAAGTCAATGTGATGTTCACTTATCAAATCATTCACTAACAGAGATTTAGATGAGAGAGATCTGATATTTAATAGTCCACATTTGATTGTCCTATTACTTTCTACTATAAGAGGAGTCATCTTAATTTTAATTAGGTTCTTATGAATAACTCCTCTGGAGTTGATTCTTGATTTATATAATTTAGGTGGGCGGGGGGCAGACACAGTCTCTATGGGGTACTGGGAGTGTTGGGTGGGTAGCAGCTGCAAGGAGACAGCAGAGAGGCGTGTAAGACTGCGACCCTGCATCCTGGACTCAACTCTGGGTTGTCATCATTTAGGTTGTAAAACAAACTCGTCCAGATTTCTAGATAAGAGAGCTGCACCACCCAAAGTGGGATGGATGCCGTCTCTGCTAATCAGACCAGGTTTTCCCCAAAATGTTTTCCAGTTATCTATGAAGCCCACATTATATAGGGTATACATAGCATAGAATAACAAGCTGGTCTGTTGAAATTTGACATGACAGGTTTTAGGTTACAACAGGAGCCTGAGGCGGCAACGAAACACTCCCATGCTCTGTAAATACATGTTATTAGTTAAACTTCATTTTGAACAAGCATGTCATGAGCCACACACGATGCAGCCACTTTTGGGAAGCACTCTGTGTTCAACTGAATGCTATAGACATGTACACTTTTATACTATGGCTTGTGTAGAGTGCATCGTGCATTGTGTGTGATACATCTGACACTACAGCTGAGGTAAAAACCTTGTTATCCAGACGAGGGCGGGCGTGCATTACCTGAGCCGATCACACATTTAAGAGACTTGTTTGAAGCCTGCGGGAGTGGGAGATGAAAGTCCTGGCACAGCACACTTTGACACCATCCAAACATAACTCCCTCACAACACTCAGCAGCTCTAATGGCTGTGTTAAAAGGCACTTTTAAAAGCACAGGTTTACAAGTGGCTACTGGTGTGGTCTACATGGTCTTTGCTCCAATGTGAACATGAATGAATTGTACATCAAGAAACAGGGGAGCAGCCGGACGAGATAAAGCTGGCAAAGCAATGATTATTTACTGTGACTGAGACAAGATCAAGCAAAATGTGGAGTCTGTTTGGGAAGGTTTTGTGAAAAAAGTACTCAATCCTCAAGGGAAGGAAGAGGTGAAGAAAAGGCTAATGAAGGAAAGACAAGGGGAGAAGAAAGGAAAAATATTAGGAGTATACTGTACAGAAGAGTAGGGAATTTGCACAGTGGAAAGAAGAAGAAGAAGAAAGAAGGAAATCGGAACAAGGACAAGAAGAAGAAGTGACTAGTAGAAGCACAGAAGAAGTAGGGAAGGTAAGAAGAAACAAGTATGGAAAGGGGAAAAGGGAGAAAAGTAATGACTGCATGTTAACAAGAAGCAAAAAAGAATGAAAATAGTGGAAAGAAGAAAAAAGAGCAGAACAAGGAAAGATGAAAAAGGAGGGAGAAGGAAGAAAAGCAAAAGGGAAGGACAGAGGGAAGAAATTATTCAGCTTGGCAGAAGATAGATGACAAAAAGTAGTTAGGAAGGAAATAAGAGGAAGGAAAGAAACAAAGGGGGAGAGTGAAAAGAGCAGACTTCCTCAGGAATATCTTCTCCATTTGTGAAGTTATACCTAACAAAAGCCATCTACAGTACTAAATGTAAATTCTATTTCTTACCTCTGATGGAGAAAAGCTGAAACAGTTCTGCAGCCATGAAGCTGAATTTAGGGCTAACAGCATGCTAACAGGTTCACAGTGACAAAGTTGACATGTTCACCACATGGATGCTGACAGTTAGAGCACTAAACACGAATCCCAGCTGAGGCTGCAATGCACGTTGTGTTGAAGATTTTTGGTCAAAAGTATCAGGCAAACTGAAATGTTCACACTGAAGATGGGCCAGCTGAAAGTCAGAGGTTCACCAAAGTCATTCCAAAACATCCAGAGGTAGAAATAAACATCTGTATGAATTGTCATGACAATCCATCAACAGTTGTCAAATGGTTCAGGAAAGGTCAGGGATCACTAGAGCCAGTAGGTCATAATCCTCTGGGCACCGTGGATGTCGGCACAAAATTTCATGGGACTCTATTCAGTAGGGAAGATATTTCAGCCTGGACCAAAGAGGAAGACTGACAGAATGATACTATTGACAAGCAGATACACTTATTATTTAACATATTCATCATTCATAACAATGTCAGAGACAAATCTGTTGGTATCTTGTAACACTTGTTTTACTGAGCAGCAGCAAATACTCAAAGCTCGAAACCTTTGTGAGACAGTCTGAGTGTGCAAGCCGCCCTCAAAAGGAGAGACAAGTGTGCTTCTGAAAAACAGCTTGTGACATTTGAGAGATAATTGACACAGCGTTTTTCCCCCCTCGCAGCTGCGCTCCCCGCAGCCCTTCACTTTCCCAGGAGTGACCCCACTTGCTCCGATGAAGTGCTCTTTACAAGGTTGTCATCTGAAAGGTCAGATCCAGAGAGCGAATGAGGCATGAAAGAGAAAAGATGGAGATCCTGCCTTCCATCTGGCTGCCTGGATCAAGACACCACGCTGACCTTTAACAGTATATCAGCCTCAACAAGCTATCAAAGTGTACGTGGGAGCTGATCGTGTTGCCTGTTCCTCTGAGTGAGTGCATACAGGACACAAAAGACTCAGAAAGAAAGCCTTTATACTACAGACACTAACATTTGTTCTTAAAGTCTTACGTTCTTTTAGCTGTTTAAATGGTCCTCTTCTTATGGTCAAAGCTAATGTCTCATTGGTGACATTTAAAGTTACTGCATCTTCAAAAAGAAAATATAATACCCTTAAATTCAAGGTAGCATGGACGGGGCAACAGTGTGGAGAATTCATCCGCTTACTTACGGCTGAAACAAACTAACAATTACTGTACTTTTAATAAATTAATTGAGTATATAAAATGGCAGACATTTGCCCCAAATGATCTTCAGATTGCTTGATAAATAAGGTAACTAACAAAATTGTTGTGGAACAGTTTTTTTTTTTATTTTATCTTTCTTATTGTCATCCTGAAACAATACACGAACTGAAGAGACATTATTTGTAAGAATATAAACATGGTTAAAAGATAAGGTTGGTGATTTTCTCCTACCCAGAGACTATAAGCATCAGTGAAGGTGGTGTACTCACTGTGGTGTGTGAGTCCAGACCGTGGTTTAGCTTATCGGTCTGTGCTGCAGACCTCCACTCTGAACCACTGAACACTGTCAGGTGTTTGTGATCTTTTCACCAAACATTGAGAGAAATGAGCCCCACACCTCAGTCTTCACTGGCCCCTCTCACTTAGTAGAACACTTAGAACAGTAATCTGTTTATTTAGACATTTTTTCAATTACCAGAAAACTAATAAATACAGTGGTTAAAGCTACAGTGTGTAACTTTTTCAAATGTTTCTGTTGCTCCAGAGCTTGTCTTAATGTGCAGAGATACCACCAAAGCCTCCTGGGACCCAGACTCACTGAACAGTGCTGGCAGCAGGGCTGAGATATTAGCTTCTAGAAGGTTTTGAGGTTTGGATTGACCTCTCTAATCAATCTGAGAATTTCAATGATTTCTGCTTGATCACTAAGTTTTGTTGCATTCTCATTTATTTTAATTTCATAACGACAAACATCTGACGAGCTGGGCAGAGCGTGGCCGAGGGATTGCAGTGATTTTGAGTTTCATGCTAGCGCTATCTTAGGTTACACACTGTAGCTTTAAGTGTTAAAGACCTAATCAACTAAAAATACCAAACAGTTTCACTTCTCAGTAACACCAATTTTTGCAGCCCTACAAGAAACAAGAAGAGCATGAATAAGAAATGAATTAAAGATAGTGTATATATAGAATATTATAAGGTAAAACTGTTTCCACCTGGACCAGCCTGGTCACTTTGAAGGGTTGGCAAAGCCTCTGCTGTGTTTTTGTCACATTAGAAGCATGACCCACTTTCACTTTCACCAGCCCCAGGTGAAGATTACAAATAGAGCAAGTGGCATTTTTTGCACTTTCTGTCTAATCCACTTGACGTCAGGTCCCTAGCAGTGCAAGATATAAATATAAAAACATTACACTAGAATCAGAAGGTGAAGAAAATGTTTGTTTTTGCTTGATTCACTCCAGCACATGATCCGTGAAACGTTGCACCACTGAGATGTCAGATTACTCTTCGTCTATGATGTGATGTGCAGCAGTGGGTGCAGCAGATGTCGGGTGCACTTTGCTTGAATAACTATGAGGCAAGAAATATAAATTATCGACTAAAAGAGGAACAGAGTTTAGATTCATGGTGCAGCTCAGAGGAAGAGAAACACACCTGAGCTTCGTCACTGTGAAGGTACAGTAGAGGAGGAGAAATCCTGCAGGGCTGCACAGCACCTTGGTTTTTGCTAGGAAAGTGACTTCAGTTGATGATGCAACATACTGACATTCAGCAGGGCTCCAAATAACAGCTATTTTCACTACCAGTTAAGTTGATCATTTCGCAAACTAAAGGTGAAGATGAAATGAGTAAGTAAAACTTTTATTCATCTAAAAGAAAAACAAAATGTGCCTGCAGATGTTTGACAGGGTTGTGGCTGGACTAGGCCAATGTGGAGGGGTACAGATATTAATAAGCTCTGGCTTCCACCCACACCGTTCTTGGTCATATTTAAGGGTATATTAAATATTAAATTAAAGAATTCTTTGTAAATAGGTTAAAGGTGAATCAATGGATATACATGGAACGTCTAATGAAAGGTTAGGATTCAAAATATAGAAAGAAAGAGAGAAAAGCAGCGTGACAACGACGTGTTCTAGAAGAAAGCACAGTGAGGACGCCTGTTTGTTCCCTACAGTTTAGGAAGCAGAGAAATGTGTATGAGAGGAGGTCAGTGTAAGCACAAACATCAGGCAGGACACAAGTTCATCTAGACTGAATATTGGATTGTCGCTGCATTTATGTCACATGGGAGTTGGAAGCTTCAGGTCAAAGTCCAAGTTCTCAGTAAAACTAGTGCTGTGACATCATAACCCTGTAAAGTCTACTGGCATTAGAGGCGTTGGGTCATTTGGGGGCAAAGAGCAACTTAAATGTCTGGATGAATGTTCTTAATTTAAAATGTTCTTTGTGTGTGTTACAAGTAGCGTTGTTGGATCCAGATTAGGGGTGTCGCGACAGACCGGTATTGACAACAGCTGTGATCCTTTAAAAATTAAATAGTGACGTCATGTGACATATGATAACATCGTAAATAATCCAAAGACAGTAACTATCTGGTGGACACTCCAGCTATGTAGGTAGTGTTACTGCACCTTAATGCTGGTAGCCACTCAACAGGGAAAGAAGAAGAAGACCGCCATACAGTAACTAGCCAGGTAGCTGCTACCCTTCCAGGTAGGCAGCATGCACATTAAAGTTAAAGACGAATTTGACTGATTGTTTTTTCAAAATTTCTGCAAATGTTGTGATATTATTATTATAGTGATTTCTTTTGTGACAGCCCTAATCCAGATGTGTCTCAGCATCACAGCACCACAGATGTCATTAAACGCCACCAGTACAAACCGTAGGGACAATGAATTAAAGACTTTATAGAGAAGATAAGAACTTTGAAAAGGTTTATTACTAGTGCAATAATTTAGGCCACTATTTTAAAAAATATCATGTTTGTGACAAGCGACACACGTCTAAAATATACTGGTTCTTTCTGTAGCCTGTAGCAAAACGGACAGCCTTTGAATTCCTGTGAACATATTAGGTAAGACAGAACACCATTATATTCTCTTTAACGCCTACTGTATAAAGAGAGAGCTTACATATTAGAATATATTAAAGAATCTAATAACATCAAGTAATGAATTTGTCCTTAATCAAATACTGCTTTTCAAAACACTGTAGCTAATATTACAAAGTGAATAGTAAGAGCAAGATCACCAAACTAGACCAGTCACCACTTAACAAACAGTGATGTAATTTCCATCTAAAGTTAATGTAAAAACTGTGCACACAATAGAGTAGCTACCAGGAAGCAGTAGTATGGCACACATGAGCTAAATTCTTAAGACAGCATTTAGACATGTCTGTCCAGATTAGATGATATCGTGGGCATCAGCACGTCCAGGGCTTGGAGCCAGAGAGGGAACATAGATTAAAAGTGTATATTTAAATCTAAATCCTAACGGTCACATTAGATTAAATTCTGACATTAAAAACATGTCTGTTGCCATTTCCAAGAAGACAAAATCTCATAAAAAGAACATTTTGTCAAAAGCCAAGTGCTAACTGAAAAAAAGAAACAGGTATCAGGATGGCAGCTTGGTCCCTCCAATCATCTTTACTGTCTGTCAGAACAAGCATCTTCATCAGCGCAGATGATGACATGAAAAGAAAAGCACCTTCTGGAAATTTATCCTGAAGGTGCAGACACGACTTTGGCTCCAAGCCCATGAGCTGGGGTCTGGGAATCTGTTTATTCTGTCCTTCCTCCTCTGGCTGCCTGATTTTTCTATCCACGCAGTGTGCTCTTATATTGCTCTCTTTTTTATTCATCCAAGTCTGGACACACTCACAGTAACAGTGGATTTTGTAAGAGAGGAGCGTGTTCAGTTGGAGTCCTGTATCTCTGCCCCTGAAGCCTCTTCATCCAAGCCGACGTCCAACTGCTCCTCATCTGCAGGAACAAACAGAAACTGGATTATTCACTTATCTTGGCAAGTAAAATGTGTTACTTTGGTTTCTATTATTGTTTTGTTTCTGTCCTGAACCCTCTCCATGTTCTTGCATTAGATGAGAAGGTTGGTACTGCTCTCATGTATGAAAGAAATGAAGCTAACACCATCAGCCCATAGCACAAACCCAGCAGAGCAGGTGGGCACGCCAACATTAATTGAACAGTTGGCATATGCTGCAGCTTCATGAAGCTGTAATCAGCACCTTTATACTGCCATTATAGGCCACAGTCAGTCTCTGCATGCTGGTCTATTTGTAGCATCATCACAGGCTGAACTGAAGAAAACTAACAGGTAAGTGTCTCGGTTCCCTTTTCGAGTTGACTGTCTACAGTTATGTCCCCTCTTTTGTCAGTGTCATCTGCAGACGAAGTAGTAGAAGTTACATAGTTTCTAATACAATTTCAATTTCTAGTAATTTACTGTAAGTAAAGCAATGAAAAAGATTGCTAAAATGCTCTGCCTCCAACACATATTAAACAAATGAGACAGGTTAATTGCTGAGGTGTGGAGGTGCCAGGAGCCAGAGTTCCAGTCCTTATGCTACACTAAACTAACCAACTGCTGGCTCCAACGTGAGAGTAGGATCAATCTAACCTTCGACAAGAAAGCAGATGAGCATACTGGATGTACAAAGAGCTACAACTACTCCTGTAACCAGGTCTACATCTAAGGAATCCTTATCAAAAAAGGTCACGCATTATGCATGTAATGTAAAAAATTTGACTTAGATCATTATGAAAACTCTCAAAATATCTTTACACCTTAAACATGTTTAACTATGTTATGTTTATGTGATCAGTGCATTGATTGTAAAAATGATGGATAGGCTAAGAGCTACCAGAAGGGAAGCCACTTGGCTGGTGGCAGTGTAGGTCATAAATCCTCCTGCATGTTAGTAAATGGGACATGAGCCAAACTGCAAATGTCTGAACTGAATTAGACTAATGTTTTCACAAACCCCAGTTTTCTCAGCTAATATACTGAAGAGTGCTGTTCAGTTTCATTAAACAGTGTCAAGTGGTACTTAGAAGCAGCATGAATTTAATAAAGTCAATGGAACGAGCCAACCAGATGCACATCCACACTGGACGGCATCAGCTGAAAATGAAAATGAAAATGTGCCCCCTGAAATGATTCATCACAAACAGAAAATGGCAGGTATCTTGAGTTGTGTGACTCCAGCCTGTTTTGTGTACAACTGATATGGACTTAATACTGCGATTCACTTTTCAACTCAGTGATGCATATTACACATTTGTGTTTGACTAAATATGATGCGACGGTATAGCACTGGTGTTTCCTCTCTCTGTTTCTGTGAGGAGAAAATGACTGCAAAGTGTTCACCTTAAAGACCAAGAGAAAAATGTGTTTACAAGTCTTGGTTCACTTGTAAGTGACTGGTTTAAATCCAGATGTGTCAACTACAAACAAGGTTTTCACACAACAACCTTACCTGCAGTTTGCTCCTCTGCACTCCGTCTCTCAGGTTGGGTGCCCGGAGAGCCAGGATCATCTGGCGGCCAGCGGAGCTCGCCGCTCTCCACCTCCGCTGCGTCCATCGGCTCTACCACGATGGAGGGAAGCCTCTTGGACAACTTTGGATACCTTTCATGGGTATCTGGGAAGATCTGGTAAAAGCTTATGTAAGGTCAACTGAAGGATAATCATATTTATGGGGATGAAAACATCATTAGTTATGCCCATGTGAAGGAACAACAAAGTGGTAAAAACTGGATTAGGAAAGCCACAAACTACACAGATGCCCTACACAGACAGCATCAGCGAGTGACTGTGATGCTATCTTTTCTATTTAAACTGCATCTGAAAGTGCGTTACTTTACTACTGTAAGTAACAATCAAAGCCAGGCTGTTTAAAACTGGGACTTACAGTTGAGCCACTTCCATACATTCTAAAGTCCAAGTGTGATTCTTCACTGCTGTAAAACAAGGAGTATAATCATGTCTGGACAAAATGCCCTGCATCAAAGCTCTGAATCAGTGTGACATGTCAGCAGCGCACAGTACAGCTTCATGCAGATCTTGTCATGATTTACAACTACACAATGTTCTTTGTATCCAAGTCTTGCATATTTTAAAACATGCAAGAAGAGCTCTTACAGAGTGTGACGAAGTTTCCCCTGCAGCTATGTTTACACTGTCAGTAATGAGTTAAAGAAGGATATAGTTTCAAGTGGCACTCATCTGTAAAATGCTTGTATGTGAACTAACTATGTGATTAATTGTTTGTGCTATTCCAAGAGGGAATTTCCACATAAAGTGTGGTGGTGTATATATATATTCATCCATCCATGATCTTATCCTGCAGAGGGAGCTAATACAGCTGACACTGGGCAAGAGGTGAAGTACACCTGGACAGGTCACCTGTCTATGGGTACATCTCATGTCTCTTATAAGATTGTTCCTATGTCGACCCTACGTCCTCGGTCCAGTTGACCAAGGACGTAGGACATTCCGAGTGTCTTCTATGAGCTCTGAGGGCCGAGAACCAAGGAGGAGCCGTGACTGATGACACGAGACCATCCTTCAGTGAAGTTTTTTGAGAACTGACACGCCCCTTTATCAGAAATCAGTTGCTGATTGGACACTTCAGATGAATGATCTGAGGAAAGGATGTCTCATGTCGTCAATAGCGTATTTCCTCGAGTCCTCTCTCCTCATGTGATTTCCTCGCATCTTACATGGGCGGGACTAAGACACAAGAAGAAGATGCAAGTGAAGAAAACGATGAGACGTACCCAAGACACATGAGATGTACCCAGTCAGACCACTCACACCAGTGTAGAGTCACCAGTCTGTGGACTGCAGGGAGGAAGCTGGAGTACCCGGAGGAAACCCACGTTATTCACAGACCAAAAGACGCCATGAGGTCTACTGGACCACGTTTAGTGGAAAAGTGAACTTTTTTTTTTTAGCTCTTTAAGTTTATCAAGCAAACCACAGGTGCTATAAAAGAAAGCATAAACCCTCACTCTTTACACTTCACTTAATAATGACACATTTGTCTGGAAAATCAGTCTTACAGTAGCAGGTGACAAATCACTTGTGCTTTCGTCTCAGCTGGATAAGACACATAGCGTTTACTCACAGTAGGACTGAGTCCGGCTAATAACCTTAGCGGCATCAGCCCACATTTTAGTCTTGCTCATCACTTCTGTGAGTCACCGCTGCATCCTTTCCAAATCGTCTAAACACACACATCGCACACACCTGGAAGGATACAGCACCCTGATCGCCTCCTGCTCCTCCCCCGCTGAAGTCCTCTGTCCCCGGCTCCAGAGATTTCATCACCTCGGTCATACTGGAGCAAAGCACATGTTGTACATGTACACATTTAGAAACAGATGGTTGTTGTTGTTTACTTGTTATTGTGCTTTTTTCCTGTTTTATTTGGTGCACATCGGGGGCCACTGAGCTGGAGTCAAATTCCTTGTATTTGAACATATTTGACAATAAAGTTTATGACTGATTGATGACTGACCTTTGTCACATAGCACAACTGTTTTTGTTTGTTCACCGATTCATTTATTATCTATAGTAAATCTGTTTTAAATCAAAACAGATGATCTATTTCTGATACAATCCATAGTCTTATAATAACTTTAAACGTTTTAATTAATTTCGACCAGCTCATCTGTGGCTGTGTCAAAATTAGTTTTGCTTCATGTTATGTTTAACATTTCTAAAACAAATGTACATTATCATTAATAATTTTATCATCACTGATGTTCAAATTAATACAGAAGCCATAAAAATTGTGTCGTGTATGTCGTCACAGTTCATTTATCTGACGTGCACGGAATTAATGAAACATAAATCAGTGCCAACGAGTGAGTTACCACTTAAGAGCCATTTGGACATTAATGTGATGCTGAGGCCTATGCTTAAAAGTTTTAGTTTGCCTGTGTAGTCGTGCACAATCTACAATCACAAATCAATTATTATTAATATGCTGGTCGGCACTAACTTCAAAGAGAAACAAACTTAGACTGAACTTATTTTTGTTAGTCAGATAATGTTTGAACTGAAAGGATGATGTGATCATCAGCTGAGGACAGTAAAGCAAAAGTTAAGTTAGTGAGGGGATGCTTTTAACCTCATCTAAAACTCCACTGACAGGCACAAGTATGGACAACAGCACCACTGTGATATGTATGTATGTATATGTATGTATTAACACCCCCATAATATGCAGCATTTACTTAGTATGATATTATGTACAGTGCGTTTCAGCACACCAGGCTCTCAGCTGCCATATCACCCCTAATAATTATGAATGTTCTTCAGTGACATCGCTCACTGTCACTCCACCTCAGTGCAGACTCCTCTCAGCACTGCATTCTCTTAAAATCCCACTGAAGACTCATTAAAGATCAAACATTAGCCATTTGCCTTTTGGCAAATTACAGGCCTGCCAAAGGTGCCAAATATGTGCTCAAACAATGAATAAACAAGATTGCAGAAGACTCTTATTGGCTTTTGATGACAACTTTTAACCAGATTTTCCATGCTTCTGCATTTCTGCAACATCCTTCCGTCATCTCCAGCTGGGGACCTCTGCTGCTTGTCATACCCTCATTTCCTGTGTACAGCTCTACAGTCACTATCAAATAAAGGCAAAATGCCAAGACAGGAATCTGGTTTAATATTCAGCTATAACTGCATTAATTCTGCCACATCATGGCATCCCTCAGCTCCCCCTCATCCGTTATTTCTTATATCAAAGCATCTGGTTGTGCATTATCACCGACTGGCAACAAAACAAACTGGATGCAGAGTAATACTGGACTGATTTGATTGATGCTGTCAGGTCCGCTCGGCGCGACCTGCCTCTCTTTCTTTTTTCCCTCTCCTGCTCTCCCTTTTTGCGGGATCAACGCCTCAGCTGTGTCGCATCGGGTTATTAGTGACTCGTGGGTCGGTGCGCACACCTGAGGCGTATTCCGGGGATTTGTTGGCTTCCTTATTTATACTTCTGGCAGAAGCCCCGTTGTCGCCGGAGCATTGTGATGTGTAATGGACAATACTTAAAGTAAGTTATACAAATATGTATATATGTTTTTATTCCATTAAACCTTCTCTTTTGTACTAGCACCTGGGTCAGCCATCTTGAGTCCAACCCCAGTTCTCCCTCACCCTCCTGGTGAGGGGGACTAAACCATAACAGTTACAGCCATTTTGATTAAAAAACTGCACTAATCATTCATTTAAACAGTATCTGTCTTTACAAGTGGCAAGTTTTCAGAAACACCACTCTTCATACAATCAGACTGGCAGTTGCTGTTGCTATGGGGATGAACAGTTGAGATTTTATGCCTCTGATTGTCTGAACAGTGCACTTTGCCTGAGCGCAAGAGGCCTGATTCAGGGGTATTCATGTGTGCCGTTATGCAGCAATTACCACCGTCAGGTCGGGGACGTGTTGCTCTGAGACTTCTCTGTGAAACCTGGGATTGCTTCTGCCGTTCGTCATCAGACAAGAGACAATACAGCCTTTATTCCTCCGTATTTTCCCTGGGGGGGGAACTGGCCCGGCCACTCTGGCCGTTCTCATGTTCGGGTTTTAAAATTCAAAGGCTCTGCTGCTCTGAAGGTAGAAGCTGGAGAGGATGCATGTGGCGCACAAACGTGTGCACGTGATTTCTGTCTAATCTGGTTTCTGAGAAGTGCACTCTGCGCTGATGTGAAGCGTAACAGACACAAGAATTTAAATGTCGATGCCAGGCATGACGCTTCGCTCATGCATTTTTTTTCTTCAGCTGAATAATAAGGCCTTATTTAGTCCGATGGGTCTGAACAAGGTTACCCATGTGTTACTGCCTGAGTGTTTACAGGAAGCTGCTTCACTTCTGCCTCAGCAGAGAAATGATATGTTAGGACGTTTATCTCTTTGCATATTTAGCTGGTTGAAGATGAAGTAGCACGTGTCTGAACTGGAATTTATATATATATATATATATATATATAATATGTGTGTGTAAAATGAAAGTAGGTCTGGAGTAGCAACATAAAGTAAGATCCTAGGTCATTGAAAAGATCAGATTCTAGAGCCGAGTTTTTTAAAATGTCATTCAAGTGAAGATTTCAGGTTCTTGGTTAAAGCAGTGAATTTGTACTGAAACATGAAAATCAATCCTAAGCAGTCATTAGGGCTGCAACCAAAAGTTATTGTCAAGCATTTTAATTGTATTGATTTGTATTGAAAATGTAAAAACTAATGGCAGATATTAACAAAGTGGTAGGACATTTGAGTTTAGCTGACAACGCAAGTGTTTCAACAACTGGTTCAAATGTGGACATCTTGCATTTCAAACCTGCAACAAGCCAAAAACTTGTTAAAAAGAACAGTGAGTTAACATCAAGGTGACACCGTATGATCCAAGCATACAGCTGGTGTTTTACACGTCCAGCCGTTACAGAGCATCAATCATTCAGAATTGTGTTGGTTCCAGCTGATGAATCTTTTAGCTCCATCTTTGGTCTCCACCATCTCTTGAGGGAAATACCTGACTCTTTAGCTGCTAAATGTTCCACTGTTTGTGGCTGAGCAGGTAGTAGACAGTGGATTTGTAGAGCTTTACTCTCAAAAACAACTGCTTCCTGCTGCAGGATAAAACAACACTAGCAGTGAGAGTGAACCAAAAGAGTAAAGCTGTGGTCTGGATACTAAACAGTGAGCTGAATCTCCCTATAAAGTTCTGTGAATCTGTAAGGACACGTAGATTCTCTGTAGATTTGAGTTGAAACCAGGGTCAAATCCTTTGCCATTAACAGAAATCCCAAATGACAGTATATACAGTACATTCAGGTATTTTACTTAAAGGAGCAGTTAAAAAAATAGAATAGGCTTATTCACTTTTTTTGCCAAGAGTTGAATAAGAAGATCAAGACTATTCTCATATCTGTGCAGTAAAACTGTAGCTCCTTAGCTTAGCTTAGCCTAAGGGCAGAACACAGCTAGCCTGGCTATGTCCAAACGTACTTCGAATTGTGAGGAAAGTTAAATCACCCTAACAGAATCCATCTACCAGCTCTGTCTAGAAACGTTCATTAAATCAGTTTGAACTACAATGATTAGCTGATTAATACATATGTCAGTAGACAGAAAATTAATCATCTAATTTTGATATTATATCAATTGTTTAATTCATTTTCATACCAAATATGTCTGCTTCTCTAAGTGATAATAAACTGGAACATTTTTGGGTTTTGAACTGTTGGTTGGATTAAACATTATATTTGAAGACCACGTTGGAGTTCAGAAAATTTTAACAGGAATTTTAAGATATTTTCTAATTTTATAGACTAATCATTTATTGGCAGATTAATCAATAATGAGAATAATCATTGCAGCCCTAAAATCAACTGTACAAGCTAAAGGAGCACCCTGATTTAAGCATCACTCTGCGGATGTTGGGTTTGGAGCTTGATGCTTGCACCAATTAGGGGCTTTTGAAAATCTGATTTCCACACAAAGCACCCCCAAATTTCCTGAAAATAATTTAGCTCACAGATGTCGCCTCCTTTCCCATCCTTCCTGTTTGCTTTTTGCATGACAGATGTGCATCTGGTGTGACCTCAGGGATTAAATTTCCTCCTCTCTCTCTTCTGTCCATCATGAGATTCATCATGGTGGAGACCGTCCAGTTAAAGGGGAAACGGTTCCCAAAACTAGCATCCTCCAGCACCTCCTGACAATCACTTTAACTCCTGCATTTCATTTTTACACATATAGGGCATTGATTTACAAGAATGGCCACTCCACTCTCCCCTCTCTTATTATTCAAACTCTTTCCTATTTCTGCTGCAAAATCAGGCCGAGCAGCTGCACCGCCTCCACAAACACAGCTTCCTTCATAAATCCAATAAGTTTTTACAGCACATGTACATGAAAACGAAATTCATTCTACAGCCAAATATAGTGATATTTACTTAACCTTGTAAAAATGTTCCACTGCTGTTTCTGCTGCAATTATATTTTAAGATCTTAGTTTGTAGTTTTATTTAAACAACATTTACTGATATTTTATTATTACCTTGCATTTGTTGCCCCTTTACACATTTCCATTTGATTTTTTGACTCATATGCACTTAATTGTTGTTCATATGACACAAAAACTTATTTTCATGTGCATTTGAAATATATGTAGGCTACGATTATGTCTGCACTGTGGTGATTTGGTGTACAAATTTACCTGTAAGGCACACAGGTGATCAGTTAACTGCAGGCACCATATAATACATGTAAATACTTAAATATAAAACACAGCTTCTGCTACACCAATACTTATACACACTGTGCTGGAAGATCCGTGCCCACAATCCCCCACAGTCAGAGGGCACCGGAAAACCAGAAGCCAAAGCGGGTTTTATTAATTTCTGCAAAGCTCTAAGGTGCAGTTTTAAATATTAAACGCATTAGTCGTTTAGTTACTTTTATGAAAATGAACAAAAGCGGCCTCTACGCCAGTGTTTGAAATGAAGAAATGTTTGTCTGAGTGTTTGCAGAGTCGTTACAAAGGCAGATTAATGCTCCGTACCTGTCTGCGGGCTGATCCAGTGTCTCAGAGCAGGAAGGTCTCCGTCCTCCGCTGCTTCATCACACTGATGATGCTGCTGATGATGAAGAGGATGATGATGATGATGATGGTGATGATGATGCGGGCTGTTGTGGGCGACAGGCAGAGGGGTGCGCAGGACTCCCGGTGAAGTTGCCGCTGGCGTCTAAGTGTTCGGAGACTGCGCAGTAGAGCGGGACCGGTGCTGCCTTCACGGACTGTCAGAAAGTTTCAATCTACCAGAGGTATGCTCGTGCTACAGGGGTCACTAATTAGGTTCAGAATAAAACAAACAAACAAATCAGAAGGAGGGCGACAATAGCTCCATAACAACCCTTTTTCCGTAATGGCGGATCACGGGAACATCAAATAGTTCCAAACATTAGGAGCATTACATTGGAGCATGACATTGACTTAGCTCCTATCTTCTAAAGTAATTTGATATTAATAGTTGGGTGAAATTAATAATTAAGATTATATTCTTTCTATAATCTTGATTTGTTAATTTTATTTTTATAGTTTTTAAACCGGTTATGATTCATGGAATTTACGAGGACCACCTAAAGGCAGCACGTAATAAGTTAGCTGAATTTGCCAGGTAACGCTAAATTTATCACAATTTATAATAGTTTAACTTATAGACACACCAAGATGTTGTCTCTTTTATATGTTATTATATGTAAAGCTTTTCTGTCAAATAACGCTAAATTAGTGCAGTAAAACGTAAAATATATATCCCCCTAAAATGTAAAATTAATGAAGTGACCTAGAAGTAGCTAACGTTAGCCCATAAAGTGGCATTAAATAGAAGTAGCCTAATGTTATTGAAATTAACTGCATGATTTGAAGTAAATGTAGCCTATTTATTTACTTTCCGCTATGCTTATAGAAAATATAGGCCTAATTTAGCCACTCGTTTTTGTCATTAAGATAGCATAAACACTTTCAGCGTGTGATATTTAGATAATTTACTTTTAGCTTTGTTTTATCCCAGGAAGAGAGACAGTACACAATTATGGTAGACTACTTGTGAACTGTGTCTCCCTCTAGTGTGCAAATTAACACTTCCTATGACAGTGTTGTATAGTTGAGAGATGATAAACTAACGTTGAATAATAATAATGACATACCTTTTTATTATTTGTTTTAATGCTTTACTTTTTTCTTTGCTTTTTGGTAAGTCAGATTAATGTACAACCTTTCAGTATGTTCAATATGTCAGAAGGAGCTTTCCAGTAGCCTACTCCTTCACCCCACTTTGTTCAACTTTGGCAGCAAATTAAATGTTTATTCTAACTTTTGGTGAAATCATATTTTGTAAAATTTGATCAGTTTCAGTAAATCAAATGCTAAACACCAACTTGTTGAACTGTAGTTACAAGACAAAGCTTTGACCACTGACCTAAAATATAGATGTCATCATCAGCCTCAAACAAAGTTTTGCACATAATATTCTTTATTGTGTGTAACTTTGCAAACATGTCAGGTTAACGCCTATCAGAATACAAACAGGAGCATAATCAAATGAAATTCTAGAAGTAATTAAAAGCTATTTACACAGCCAGTTCAATATTTGTACAGTGATGTTGAAAGAAAACATACTATTAGCATATTTTTACCATTGCAAATCAGGTTCTGAGTAGCAAAGTTTTAAGAAAAATACAGCTGCAGCAGTACACCTGCTGTCTTTTATCATAAGCATTTCATTTCGGCTTTGCTTAGCTATTACTTCTTTACATTTTAGCTACAGCAACAAGAATAAGTAGTTTGGTGATACATGTTAATATTCATATTTTTCTGTTATATACTGCACTGTTGTATTATAGGTGTTCTATCAATTTTACAATGAAATTATTGTAAACATATTTTTGGAATGTCAGTAACTGATTAAATTTGTGAACAGTCTTGTTCAGAGTTTTGCATCAACCATTTTTAAATCAACTGCCCTGGTAATTATCATTTTGTAAAACAAGTGCACAAGTAACTCATGTTAATAATGTACATTAAAAACTATGAAACAACAAAGATATTGATGAGTTTTGATAAGCAAATGACATGGCTTACTTCAGTTCTGTACCATAATAAGCAAGAATATTTGGTGAAAACCTGTTATAATTTGCAGTAAGGGCACTCAGTTACACCGCTTCTTAACAATTTGATTACACTGTCAGTGAGATTTACATGAATCCTTCTCTGTATAAGTCACCAGCATGCAACCAGAGACTGAAGCTGACAACTGAACACTGACACATTCTTTTAAAGGTATACAAGCTTTTCCAGTTGGCAACATGTTTTCTCTCTCACTTTCCTGTCACCTGGCTATGACCAGTGAAATTCACAACCTACAATCCAGGGATTGTATTATATCTTTTAGACATTTAGATTGAGCTGTTTCACTTCTCAGCTCCATCAAAGAACCTCATTTTCTCAGAGTGGACAGAGTCTCTCAGTCGTTGTATAGATGAGGCTGTTTCACCTGAAATGGGTTCAGAAGACTCAACTATAGGCCTGTGTGGAATTTGTTTAGTTACAACTGTTTCACTTTTCTCGCTAGATATTTCCCCTATTAAGTGCTTCTCGACGACTGTTCTCTTGCCACTTTGTGAGTCTTCGACAGTCCATGACGTAGCTGTTTTAGCCTCAGGTTCTAAGGGAAGGTCGCCAGATGACTGAACCTGGACAGCAGTTAGTATCTTGGCATGATGTGCTTCTGGGGTGACTTGTATATTTGATTTGATGACATGCATTTTTCCAGATTCCAATCTAGGTGAGCTAATATCAGCAAAGGCATCTGATGACTGGACAGAACTGGAGGGGCTTAATTCTTCAAGTCCTATTTCCCCCCCTGGACTCTTTTTATCTTTGTGATCATCTTTTTTAGAAACTTTTTGAGGTTCTGATTTTGAGAACAGTCCAGACTCAGGAAATTTAAACCAGCCTGTCCTCTCAGGACTTTTGGTAGTATCTTTTTTATTTGCTTCCTTTTTCTTAGTCTCTGGCAGATCTGGAAATTCAATACCAATTGTATTGATTAGCTTATCAAATGACATCAAACTAGATTTTGTTGATTTACTCTCTCCTTTTGCCTCAACTTTCTTTTCTAGCTGATTCTCTTTGCTTTTAGTTTCAAGAATGACATTGTCGTCTTCAAGTCCGGGTATTGAGAAGGTCACATCTGGCATCTGAATTGGTCGTAGTTCGAATTTACTTGGAGATCCACGACCCACACCGCCCCTCTCAGTTTTTAGTGTTTTAGAATCCAATGTGGCTGGTTTGGACATAGCCGTCCTCTCAAGACTTTTAATATCTTGCTTTATAATCGCTTCCTTTTTCTCAGTCTCTGGCAAATCTACAATTTCAACATCAGTTTTGTTGAGTCGCTTACCAAATGGCATCAAACTTGATTTTGTTGATTTACTTTCTTCTTTTGCCTCAACTTTCTTTTCTAGCTGATCTTCTTTGCTTTTAGTTTCAAGAACGACATTGTCGTCTTCAAGTCCGGGTATTGAGAAGGTCACATCTGGCATCTGAATTGGTCGTAGTTCGAATTTACTTGGAGATCCACGACCCACACCGCCCCTCTCAGTTTTTAGTGTTTTAGAATCCAATGTGGCTGGTTTGGACATAGCCGTCCTCTCAAGACTTTTAATATCTTGCTTTATATTCGCTTCTTTGCTTTTAGTTTCAAGAAAGACACTGTCGTCTTCAAGTCCGGGTATTCCGAAAGTCACATCTGGCATCTGAATTGATCGTAGTTCAAATTTACTTGGAGATCCACGACCAACACCATCCCTCTCAGTCTTTGGTGTTTCAGAATCCAATAATGCTGCTTTGGAAAGATCTGGAACATCAGCTTTTGGGGCATCAAGGTTGACATCACCCTCAGAGGTCTTAATAATTGGCTTTGAAAAAGACAGTTTTGGCAATGTCCAGCTTGTCTTTTTCAAGTTTGCATCACCCTCTATAGGTGGTGCCTGTGACACAGAAAATGGAGTTGCAGACTCTTTGAGTTCAACATCAGGAAGTTTCACTTGAGCCTTTACTTCTGGTGAATTTAAATCAGCTCTTTCCACATCATGTACTTTGACCTGTGGATTAAGCCTTCCAAATTTGGGTAATTTGAATGTCGGCATATTCAATTTTGATGGTGATCCTTTCGTATCCTTTTTCACAGCTTTGATCTCAGGAGCTTTGGCTTCCACTTCAGCTAATGGTTCTTTAAGTTCAGCGCAGGGGAGTTTGACTTCAGCCTTGGTTTCTTGTTGTGCCACATCTAAATCTTTCTTTGTTGAGCTTGAATCAATGTCTTGTCCTTTGCCTTGGGGCACAGAAAATCCAAGACTTGGCAGGTTGAACTTGCTTCCTTTCTCGTCATGTTCAGTTCCTGTAGTTTTTATATCCACTGATGGGCATTTGATGCTGGGTGCTTCAGTGTTTACTGCAGGAACCTCTTCAGTAATGATGCTTTTGCCCATATCTGGTACTTCTGTAGTGGTACTTGGAGTGCCACCTCCAAATTTTGGCCATTTCACTGTCGGCATATTCCATTTTGATGGGGATCCTTTCGTATCCTTTGTCGCAACTTTGATCTCAGGAGCTTTGGCTTCCACTTCAGCTGATGGGTCTTTAAGTTCAGCACAGGGGAGTTTGACTTCAGCCTTGGTTTCTTGTAGTGCCACATCTAAATCTTTCTTTGTTGAGCTTGAATCAGTGTCATGTTCTTTGCCTTGGGGCACAGAAAATCCAAGATTTGGCAGTCTGAACTTGCTTCCTTTCTCGTCATGTTCAGTTCCTGTAGTTTTTATATCCACTGATGGGCATTTGATGCTGGGTGCTTCAGTGTTTACTGCAGGATCCTCTTCAGTAATGATGCCTTCGCACATATCTGGTACTTCTGTAGTGGTACTTGGAGTGCCACCTCCAAATTTTGGCCATTTCACTGTCGGCATATTCCATTTTGATGGGGATCCTTTCGTATCCTTTGTCGCAACTTTGATCTCAGGAGCTTTGGCTTCCACTTCAGCTAATGGTTCTTTAAGTTCAGCACAGGGGAGTTTGACTTCAGCCTTGGTTTCTTGTAGTGCCACATCTAAATCTTTCTTTGTTGAGCTTGAATCAGTGTCATGTTCTTTGCCTTGGGCCACAGAAAATCCAAGACTTGGCAGTCTGAACTTGCTTCCTTTCTCGTCATGTTCAGTTCCTGTAGTTTTTATATCCACTGATGGGCATTTGATGCTGGGTGCTTCAGTGTTTACTGCAGGATCCTCTTCAGTAATGATGCCTTCGCACATATCTGGTACTTCTGTAGTGGTACTTGGAGTGCCACCTCCAAATTTTGGCCATTTCACTGTCGGCATATTCCATTTTGATGGGGATCCTTTCGTATCCTTTGTCGCAACTTTGATCTCAGGAGCTTTGATTTCCACTTCAGCTGATGGGTCTTCAATGACCATCTCTGCCTCTGGAATAGAAACATCTACACCTCCAAGAGTAACGTCAGCCTCAGGGGCTTGTGGAGGTTTGACCTCAGCTTTAGCCTCTGGTAGTGTGATTTGTGAATTGTTTGGGGAGGAGCTCACATCAAATTCAGGCCATTTTATTCTTGGCATTTTGATGGCAAACTTTGGCTTTTTGACCTTGCTTCCTTGTCCATGAAGGTCACCCTCAATCTGCACAGGTTTGATTTCCAGTTCAGGTTTTTCAACATATATCTTTTGCTCTGGAATA